GTATAATGTGCATAGATATGGATATAGATCTATATATAGAGATACAGATCAAGATAAAGATACAAATACAGATAGAGATAGAGATATAGATTTATATATATATATGTATATACATATGTTGAAATAGGATTCACACATATGTTATGTGCGCATTACATCCTCCAGTTGCCCAGCGGCCCTGGCCCTTCGACTGAGCTGGCGACCAAGCTAAACTGTTGCAAGCAGGAGTCCTCGGTGTCAGCTTCGCGAAACCGTAGCGTTTCGCCGCTGGAATCCATGGATTCTTGGGAGGAACCATCCCCAATATGGAGGCTTCCAGAATCTGTTTCCGAAATAGCAAATTCTGGGAACCAGGCGACTGTTAAAACCTCCAGAGATCCTCAAATTGACTTGGGTTTCTCTGAAAATAGGGTGTATATATATATATATATGTATATATATATATTTCCGTCAAATCCATCCGTTGATCGTCCATTTCCCTGCAATATTCATGTCGAGGTAACCCATTTTCGATGGCCAACTGCTAGGGTGAGCCTGGAAGCTCTCAAGACAAGATTATACCGCTTTCCAACGGAACGTCATTGGGGATATAACCAACGTATGCTGGGAAAAAAAAGGGGTATCATGGTGAAATATGAAGATGTGCAGTTCTTGGACAACATGTGCATCTGTTTTTTCCCACCGCAAGCAGTGCTCCAAACTCTGCCGCGAAATGCAGGTAACCTGAGGCCCTTACAACGCCCGAACATAGGATGTGCTTATCATCCTGCAGATCACAGGCTGCACTAGAAGCAAACAGAGCTTGGACTACCCTCTGGTAAACTAACATAGCTATTGAAAATGGTCATTTATGGTTGGTTTTTCCCATTAAAAATTATTAAGTTCCATACTTATGTTAGTTTACCAGAGGGTAAGTAAAGCTTCTGAACTTCCAAACAACTCGGGCATGACACAAAAAACAAAAAAAATGCCGTTCCAGTCATCATTTTGGGAAGATTTCACCCCTACACAGCCACTGATTATTGCCAAGCTCTCACTTCCCAATCCGGATTTAAAGATTCATTGCTCGTTCAACATCTTCGGATGATTTCCAGATTGTATTCTCACCATCACGGTGTTCAAATTTCCTCAGATTCATTCAACAATTCCCCAAAAAAGTGGTACTATACATCCCAATGATAGCATTCCCACTATGTAATATCCCCAATAATATCCCCAATATAATGTCCCCTGATATCTGCATATAACCCCCATTATATCCGCAGGCAGTCCGGAGAGAAGGTGCACATCACATTCAAGCTCTCCGTGGTGAAGAGCTTTACCTGGAAGCTGGCTGGCTACGAATGGAACCAACAATGAGATTCAATTCATAAGTCGTGGATATGTAATGATATGTATGTAATGTAATGTAATGTAATGATATGTATGTAATGTAATGTAATGTAATGATATGTATGTAATGTAATGTAATGTAATGGAATGGAATGGAATGGAATGTAATGTAATGTATGCATGCATGCATGCATGCATGCATGTATGTATATATATATACATACATACATACGCCTGGGATGCTAAGGAGAATGATATTGATATATTTGCAGGGTTTGCCACAAACACCTCAAATTAAGCACGAATATTTGAGGACTTAAGCCAAAGATATTGATTTTGCCATCCAAAAAAGCCAGAATGATAGTTGTATAAAGGAACCAGATATGTACCAAATGAGCCTCTAAAAATGATGCTTGCATCATTCTTGAAACTAGAAATTGGGATTCAAGCAGCAAGATTTGATGAGACTTAACTTCATGAAGTTAGGGAACCAATGCTGCTATGTTTGGGGACAAGCAATTGCTCTTCAAATTCTGAGTTGTCCCGGTTTCTTTCCTGTGACCAAATCGATTTTTCGTGTAAATCAAATTTGAATGTTCATCCCAAAAAAAATGGAATTGTAATGAATTAATGTGAATAATATCATATCAAAAATTGAGACATATTACATTATGTATATCATACAAATCCCCCATATTAGGCCCTGGTTTAGTATTACATCTATATATTCCCCAAGTTCAAGTTCGGAACCCGGACCGGTCTCGCCAACTGCAGAGGTTGTCTCAAGTCCCACACCTTCGGAAGCTGGAAAATCCTCCGTTGAGTCCATGATTTTCCCATATGATCCACATGGGTAGCACATGGGGATTGTGATCAAAAATCACCATCTGAGTCGATGATTTTCCCATATTGAAAACCTCCATATTTTTTTTTACGGATCTTCCAGGATTTTCCACTGCCATCTGAATTTATGACACCGGGTAGTCATCCATTTATCATGACATGAACTCATCAGATTCTATGGTGATGGAGTGGACTTCTTTGCACATCCAGGATGTCGGAATTCATGTGACTGATGTCTCATGTTGATCTCATCCGAAAGGCAATCATCCTGGGACCAAAAACTCAAACGTTGCTTCAGCTCCTTCCAGAGATCAAAATAGCATGGTTTTGGCAGGCAAAATGATGATAACCTCAATGATAAATCAAGAAAAAGGTTTCGGGGTTCCAAATTCTCAGGCCCAACTCGTGGATTCTTGGCTGCTTTGGCATCCTTCTTCCTGCGGTCCATCCCTTTATTTTGAATGATCACAACTGAGTAGGTGAGCCATGTATGTACGTCATGAGCTTCGGAAATGAGGGGATGGTCATCGATGACTCGATGACCATCATGGTTTCTATCCAGTTCCGATCTGATGGCCATCCAGGTATACTCTCCACTGAAATCCTTGCTTTTGCTGGTTACCCTCCAGGAATCAAAACATGGCAATGGGAAATCCCCTAAAAATGGAGGCTTTAATAGGAAAATCATCTACACAGATATATATATATATATATGTATGGGGATTATTGATCACAATCCCCATGTGGATCGGTTACATCCAAATTTGCATCTTCCGATCATTCACCCAAAGTTGTCTTTCTTCATATTTGCCCAGAAAATGGGGAGGGAAAAAATTGATCCATGCCCTTGCGATGTGCATTTTCTTGTGGTTTCCATCTTTGAATCCCAGTGATTCACTGGCCTTGCAGGAGTGGTCAAAAGATGCCGTGGCAAAAAGGTGCGGAGACCTGTCGATTAGTCACCAAATGTCGTAAAATAGGGAAGTTCCATGGAGTTCCCTCTTACTGGAGTGATGGGAGGAAAATCATGATCAACCATAGGTTATACAAGGTGGGGCCCCCCAGTTATAAGTTGGTTTATAAACCCCATTAACTTTAGTTATAAGTACCATAAACCATAGTTATTGGAGTTATAAACCAACTTAGCTATCTTGGGGGCACCACCTTGTAGGATTATATGGGAGTTTGGGGCATCAACAGAAACTGCGACAAACTCATTTGAGAAAGTGCCCAATGGTTTTTCATGGTTTTTCCGCGGGTGGGATCCTGTTTTTTTCCACCGGATGTATGTCCAACTTGCAGGTGCAGGAATGGGGTTATTGCTAGGGATACAACAAGCTATAGTGTGGGTAAAACCATAATAAACAACCCCGGGTAACATTTCCGTTTTTTGATGGTTGATACCGCCCATAAAAATTGTGATTTTGGGGATGGTTTATTCTGATTTTATTTTTCGTTTTTTGGTGGTGGGATCAGTTCCCCGTGGTTGGCCAAAAAATGCCATGGGTTCTAGTGCAATTCTTCATACTGATAGTTTCCCATGTCAGCATCTACAGCCCGGGGGGATTTTCTACCACGCTAGATGAACGTTCGGGTGGTAAAAAACAGGGCGTCAAGCAATCCCACAGCTACCACGGGAGAGTCGGCGGAAGCCCAAAAGATGACCGTCGTCTTGCGTCTAAAATGGCGATGTAAGTGAGTCAAACATCAGAGGGTACCCAACAAGCGACAACTTTAATCAAGGTAAAAATGTGGTAAACCATGGTAAACCGCGTAAGACCATCCGTTTTGGGTTGATCATTTTTGACACGTCATTGGTTTTTACCGCTCGGCTCATGTCGCGCCTGTGTGAGAAGCGTAGGATGTTAATAAAGTTCTGATGCATCCCTTGGAACCTGTGCGGCATGTCTGACGTGGCAGAATCCTGAAGCCGTCAACAAAAACGAATCCAAGGGTTCTTCAAAGTCTGAAGTCTCCAAGGCTACCAGTGAGTAATATATATATAATGGTTAATAGTGGTTAATAATGGTTATTAATGGTTATTAATGGCTAATAATGGTTAATGATGGTTATCAATGGCTGGTTGGTGGTTTGGGACATGGCTTTTATGACTTTCTATATATATATATAATTGGAAAAAACATCATTAACTATTATTAGCCATTAATAACCATTAATAACCATTAATAACCATTAATAACCAAAAACCTCAACCATCCCTCCCCCTCTGAGCAGCCCAGCGTGTTCAACCTTCGTCCTGTGACCAGATCATACAATCCTGCGCTGGCAGTAGCTTTAGGGGGTCCCACCAAAGTGCCAGGAATTCGCTTGCGCCAGGCCTAGATCGACACAGAAGCCGCTGGTCATGAAATACCTGGGAACCCCCGCAGCAGGTACAGGATTTCTGGCCGTACAAATCAAGTGATTGGGTGTCTCAAAATGTGGATAGAATCAAAGGGTTTGAAAATTACTTCAGTGCAAGTTTGTGTAAGTTTTGAGCCACAGCTATTTTCCTATTATGGTCGACTGAGTCTAGAGTCTAGCTGGATTCATGTTCGACCCCAAGCTAGGCATTTCCTAAAGATATCATCTCTCTCCAAACATGGATCCAGTCTATCGGTGGTTCATTCACGACCCTGAAATACGTAGCAATTGGATCTCGAAAACAGTACCGACCCAACCAAAGGGATCATCTCCAATGTGTGAAGTCCATCAAGAGGTGTTTCAAATGGACCCAATCACTGAGGCCACCCCTCGAATGGTGAAAAAATAGCAGTATGTCATAGTATGTCAACTGGCTCTCCATCGTGAACTACATGGCCACATCATGGCCACATCATGGCCACATTCATCCACTTTCCAGCGGCGCACTCGTCGGTGCAGTTCACGGACAACGAGGAGAGGTGGGCGAAGGGTTCCAGGCGCACACTTTCCATGTGCCCGGGCCTGGCGGGATGGCGATGGCTAGAGATGGGTCTTGCGGCAAGGGGAACCTGATGGGAAATTCCGGGATGGGAATATGTGTACATATATATATATATATGTATATATATGTATGTATGTATATATATATATATGTATATATATATGTATATATATATAATGATTAGGTGATGGGATATATATATATATAACCTGTATAACCACTCACAAGTGAGTTCTCGATATTTTCCCATTTGAAATGGGGATGTCCAATTACCAGATGGTAGTAAGTAGGTTCTATTCACCCTCGTCATAAGAAGATCAACCTTGCACATGATCCCAACCAAAAAAAATAGATATAACTTATATAACCTACTTGCTACCAAGTTTTATGTTTGATTGCAATTTTTCCATCATTTCTATCCATTTCGAGTATCGCTCCTATCGTGAAAAGCCATGGACCACTGGCCCGGCGGCGGCCTGCGCTCGTCGTAGTTCACGAGACAGGTGGTGCCCGACTGTGAGACGCCGCAGACTGCCTTGGCGGCCCGTGACGACTCGGCTTTGCGGCGAAAAAGGGATGATGAATTGAATAATAACTGCATGATTATTCCCAATATATGGATGATTATTCCCAAAAATAAAAAAAATGTTCCAAACCACCAACCAGATAATCTATCTGTCTGTCTATCTCTTATAAGTCTTATCTATACATGTGTCCATTTACTCCATCTATCTATCTATCCATCCATACATCCATCCATCCATATACCTAATTCTAGTACGCATCGCATTTGCGACTGGGTGAACGGACCATGGTCCCAAGATTCTCAGATTTGGACGAAGCCATTGGCCGCACATATTGGCTATCACACTGGGAGTTCACTTCAAAGGGTCTCCAAAGTCGTTGCAAACAGCACTTCAACGGATCTTCAAACTCCTCCTTTTTCACAGCGGGCAAACAAAAAGACATATTTCAGTGGTCCTTAAGCTACCATATATCTACATATACATATACATATACATATACATATACAAACACATATACATATACATATACATACACATATACATATACATATACATATACATACACATATACATATACGTATACATATACAAACACATATACATATACATATACATATACATATACATATGCATATGCATATGCGTATGCGTATGCATATGCATATGCATATACATATACATATAATTACATATACATATACATATACATATACATATACATATACATATACATATACATATACATATACGTATACATACTTATACATGCACATGCACATACACCAGCACATACACATACGCATACACATATACATATACTTTCATATGCTTATACATGCACATGCACATACACATCCACAACACATTCATATGCCTATAATTACGTTTACACATATACACATAATACTGTACTATAATATGTATGTACATTAATATATATATATCCTAGGTCAAAACATTATTTATTTTCCCATAGATTCGGGGATGGTCATCATCCCATTCATAGGCCGGCCTTAAAATTCGGCCAAGGCACCCATTGTGGATTGGTATGAAGCCATGACAGACCCAGAATCGGATAAGAGTCCACCTAGACACCGAGAGGGCGACAAAGATCCGTTATTAATGTTATTAATGCTTGCTAAGCGCAGGTCTCCAAAGTCTCCAAGGTCTCCAAAATTCAAGTTGGTTCTTTGATGTTCTCACTCCAAAATCGACACCAAAAACACAGTGCCCAGTGGTTTGTCATCAAATCCTCGAAATTTTCTAGCACGCCAGAACGGCCAGAACCTCGGAAAAAAAAATGAAGGCAAGGGAAATCTTTCAAAGTAGTCCTGATCTACTCTCATGGGCTCCCGATCCCAAAATACGGTCGCTGATGGTCCCGGCCTCCAGTGTGTGCGTGGTGCTGTCCTCCTCATGATTGATGATTGCCACCACTCCGTCCTGCCGGAAACCAAGGCTTCACTTGGGAAAATCTCCAAACAGCAAACTGGAACTCCTCATGGTCACGAAATGAGGAGTAATCCAATACCAAAACCCAGTGTTTTTGGATGTTTTAAAGTCCATTGGTTGCGATATTTCAATGGCTATTTCGGCAGTGTTTCTCTACTTTCATAGCCATGGGGTGCGGCGCCTTTCGCCCCGCCAGAACTGTGTCAGCTCGCTGCGGATGGAACCTGGCAGTCGAACCCTTTGAAGACAAGCACTGGGACAACCATCCCTACGACTTGGAGAATATACTGAAGATAGAGTTGAGTATTTATATATGTGCATGTGCAATATACATATGTATATATATATATACATATGGTATGTATACATTTTTCTCTTGAAAAAATTTAGGAATAGTTGATGCCACCAACCAGTTATCTTTCCCGGGAAAAGAAAAAAAACGATCTACAAAACAGTGGACTCTTTGCCCTTCATATTCAGTCGGGGTCTTGGTTTGACGGTGGTCGGTTGCTTGGAGGATCCAAGAATCCCGACTGATTACCAAGAATGTTACACTGTTTTGTCCGAGAACGCTGACAAGGCAATCATAAAATCCATCTTTGGAGGGATAGCATCAATGAATCTTGCTGAGCAACTAAGATAGGCATGGTATACTAACAGCTGACTCTTGCGACCCTACTCGGACGAAGCACCAAGGATTGAAATTCGACACCCATATGGCGTGTCCCATGATCTCCCTGTTTAATCTTGCTTAAATACTGATTTTGAACGGCCAAATACTAACACATGGGTTTGTCTTAAAGCAGGATTACCAGTATGTTCCACTTATCATGACGTTTCCCATGTCGTTTAGACTGCGATTTAGTTTCCCATTTAGACATATCTAAACTGCCATGTTTTTTATCCAGGGATGTACCCCATTTTTGGACACCCCAGGGGTTGCTGGCCCATATCCTAAATGCTTCGACCGAAAGGCTCAAACTGTCGGGTGCCATTGCTGGAAAGGATCAAACGACGCCTCGTTGCTTTGGAGGAACCATCGCATTTTTTTAACCACTGGGGGGAATGCATGCTATGGTCAAAACGTGGTATATGGTTATGGTATGTTATGGTCATCCATCCTATAATGGGAATCTATGGATTGATGACCGTTGTGCTGTGGATTTGAAGCCCTAGCTTGGTGACCCTGGCCCGGGCGAATACGTTATATAGTATGGGGTAATTCATGTGGGACCACCGTCAAATGCGCATGTGTTCACTCTTCAGACATCTCCCCAATTTGAAAAAAATAGTGACAAGAGATGCGATTGGTATATGTCATGAAGAGCAAGAGCAAACAGAATCGATATGGCAGTGGGTCAAAACCTTGTACCCCTGGTGAACATAAAAATAGCTGGTAAATGGATGTTCATCCCTCTAAAAATGGTATTAATAGGTATTGATTCATAGCCATATGCAGGCAGGGTTGACCCTGTAAAACAATCCCAACAGGGTTGGGTGTCAAATCCATACCCTGCAATCCCTAGCATGGCGGAAATTACCAACAATCCAGATTTATCGTGACCAACACAGCTAACACGAAAAAAAAAATCCAACTGATTGGAGCCGCGGCAGAAATAGCTTTGCAAAAAGATGGGATGTTGTTGACCAAGACCCTCCAGATATCTCCAGATCCACCACTTGTACCATGGGGCCCCAGGTGTTTTGACCACTTCACTGGGCTCCAGAACGAATGAGGCAATTGCCTCTCCGGAACAGATCTTAACTCCTGCGCAGATCAGGAGCGTCCGCGCAAAAAAAAACTGGAGACCTTTCCATTGATCCAAACATGGAAGGGATCCCACATCCGTCCAACTTGAGAGTGGAAAGTCTCACTCACCCAGACTCACCCATCTGCAGAAACTTTCTGCCCATTGAAGCAAGACTTACCCGTTTATGCATTTACTCTTTGAAAATGATAGGAAAAATGTGTTTTCCGTTGCAAAAAAATGAGATGACTCGAAGGTAAAACTCTTCTCCGCGTCCCTCCTCTGCTGTATCGAGTTTCGTCCACATGTCATCCTGGCTCGGGGCCAAAACGGCAAGACGTCTAAGATCTCCCAGAAAAATGATCATTTTGGAAGAGATAATGAATCGATTTGAGGGTGCCCTATTCTCCAACGTTGTTTACCAACCTGGGAACTGAGGGGGAGCAGTCATGGCTTTCAGTGGCGGGCTAATCATACCCAACAATCCAGGTGGGGTAAAGTTCTGAGTGGCCAAACAAGGCTATGAAAATCCACCATTCGCCTGCAAGGGGCCAAATATTTTTCAAAATGATTCCTACTATAGTTACTATGGTTATAGATATGGATGCTACATCCAGTAGTTTGTCATAACTTTCTCCGGCTATGGCTATAAATTCCCCTCATTTCTTGGATAAACCCATCTCAATCCATCTCATATGTTTGGTTTTGCATCCCAATTTCTGTCCACCAAAAAATCCCCGTTTTACACGGTTGCAAAGCGCACCCCATTTGTGTTGGCGAAGTCCAATTTTGTATCCTTTGGATCCCCACGAATTCCCATTGTGAACAATGCTGATAGTTACCCTATCTAAATCCCATAGTTACCATAGTTCAATGATTAAACCCTATCGAAACCCTTAATGACCGCGCCTCCTTTGCCACTTCAATACAACCTGGGCTGTGATCAAAATCATGCCTGGTTTACACAGCATGTCGATGGTTTTAATACAGCATGTTTAGAAAAATCAACAAATGAGTAAATTACTTATCGTAAATAATGATGTTTGAATCATCAGAAACAATGAGGATCCAAAATAATCGATTTGGAACGTCCTCAGAGGTTGGACGAGAGTTGGATTCCTACCGGGCCCCTACCGGGCCCCTACCTGACCGCTGAAAACCATGCTTTCCTGTGCTTCTCCATGAAAATTGAATGGAAAAACGAGTAAGAATGGAAAAACAAGTAAAAATGTGGTTACCCATGATCGAAACAATTTCGTGCAACTATTTCTCTTGGAAACCACAATTCCTGGATCTCAACTCCCAATGTTTGCCCTTGAAACCATCGACCTCTTCACTGCCTCCCATGAGTTCCCACACGAGGTCGGTGCACATTGTGACGGATCAGGTCGTAGCACCGAGGAATGCTCGGGGACCTTACCCAGAGATACCCAGAGGCTAGACATAAATGTGTACATATATACATGTACATATTATATAATGTGTGTATATATATATGTATATATACACATATATGTATATATATACATGTTACATATGTATATTATTATTTTAGATGGGATGTTTTTCGTCTTCGTTTGCTAGATTTGGAAAGAAACATTCCTAGTGTTCGTCACTGTTCATCCTCTGAAATCCGTCAATTCCATGGGAATCGTACCTTTCTGGATCCTCAAGTTGGGTATGGGTCCAAAACCCTGATACCCTGCAGGCCCTGCATGTTAAATTCCGATCCATCATGGGCTCGGAAAAAGACGGATGCCCAAAATCCCGGAGCTCTGGGATGCCCAAGCGAACTGCTATCACTCCAGTCACCTGGCAAGAGAAGCCGACTTTGGAAGAAAATTCAACGTGCCATAGGAAAGTCATGGAAAGTCCATGCGTCATCTTTCCATGCATCTATCCAGGAATGTTGAAGAAAAAATATGATTCATAGACTGTTCAAACATCATTGCAGAGATGGCCTCCAGGTGACGAAGAGTCAGACCGTTCGGTGAGGCCTGGGTCTGACTGAGGGGTTGATGGTGACGAACCCCGAAGCCGAACAGGCCGACGTTTTGGGGTGACGTGACTTGGAGGTGCCAGGCCTTCAACATCTTCAACTTCCATGAAGCCCCCAGGCCAAGCCCAAAAATGTCGGGGTCAGCCTTTGATTCTCAGCCCCTGGCATCCTCCTCCCTGTACCTGGCCCCATGGCGCCGGGTCCTTAACGGTCCTATCTTTAGCATACCCTGCCGCACCTTCGTTGACTCCATTCCCGTCATGAAGGGCCGATGCCTCAGGCAGAGATGGTCCATCGTTGCATCCCCAACCCCATGGCGATCCACTGGTATATGCGTCTAATTTAGGTATATGCGTCTAATTTAGGTATATGCGTCTAATTTAGGTATATTTAGGTATATTTAGGTATATTTAGGTATATTTAGGTCTTGTAGCTTGCATATCTCAGAATTTCACTCTCAACTTCGCCATTTGTTCAGGTCATTTTCTTAGCCACGCCCCCATTTTGCCTTCGCCAGGGCTTCACGGCTGCTCGCACCTGGAGCTTGGGCCAAACAACTGGATTTGTTTACCGTTTGGGTGGAGGATTTAACTATAGTTAATGGGTTTACAAATCAACAGAACTAGGGGGCCTCACCCTGTAACATGAGTAAGGGATTGTCAACCCATTCTGAATAAATGAGAAAGTTTCACTGGCTATTTTGGGATAGGTACCCTATACTAACCATCATTTCTAGTGACATTGCAGTGACGTCGTTGGAAATTATCCAGATTCATGGTTTTCGACCGATTTTGTGAGTGGCAAGCCAAAACGTCAACGAAGCAATTGCACTACTCGGGCATGCCTCACACATTCATTTGTTGCCCAAACCCCCCGGTTTAACATCATTCTCTCTACCCAAAGGGCAATTTTAAGGTACGAGTATCCCCTATTCTTGGATCACTTCTTGAGATTGCCTGAGGCGTTGCTCATGAAACAAAACGTCATCATTGGCACCATCCATGCCATCCAGAAATTGGACCATTCGAATATTGAATTGACAGGACGGCAAACTGATGAGAAGGACACAAAACTGTGAATCCGGTCGACTTTGCTCAAAATTTTCACGAAACCATCTTTATAATATGATAGTTGGGTATGGTTAAAGATGAAGTAGTACCAAGGGACCCAACAGTTGTTGGTCCCATCCCCGTTTTCCCTTGACGTTCCAACTGGCCAGGGCGGCTGAGTCCCTCTTGAAGAGGACAATGCGGTTGTGCGGTTTGCCTCAACGGCCGAATGAACTAACAATGAACTGGGGCAGCCCCCACAGAACATCATATTTCCGGGCAGCCCATGGAGGTTGTTGGGTCAGCCTTGATCATTTTGGAGACGTCCACGGATCCCCAGGAAAGCAACGGTTTTCTTCCACGGCCGGTTGTTGCGGATCTTCACCCAGCTGGTCACCCTGAGAGACAGACCAAGATGCGGGGAAATCGGAGACTCTTTCAATATCAGCCTGCAGGGCTCAGCTCAGCTTTCTGTCATCCCCTTGCTGCGCTGGTTTGTTTCCTTAGAGATATTTGCACTGGAGCCATCTGCACCATTCCCATCAAACCAAAAAAAAGTTCAGTCGTGCAAAACCACACAACTAATCATCACAACGCCAGCAACCATCCTGCCAAAGGTGATGCTCAAAATGCTGGAGACTCGTTTGACCCCAAGTTTCAACTGGTTCATCATCATGTGTGTCATTCTTAATGGCCATTGTCAAGGGGCAAATCCCCAATGTTTAAGCACAAACTCATTGACCAACCGTTTAGAGACTGATTAGCTTTGCTCAAAAATCCCCATCTTTCCTCACTTTTCCCCATTGTTTCAGGGCCACCAGTTCCGGGACAATAACCGCCTTTCTCCTTGCGTCCAGCGCAGGTCTGTCAGCAAGAGAGACCGAGAGGTCACCTGAATGCACGGTGTTTCTTGGGCACTGCTTATCAAAAGGAAACAAAATAACAAATTGATCAATCTGTCGGTCTGTCTGTCTGTCTGTCCGTCGATCTATCGATCTATCGATCTATCGATCTATCGATCTATCGATCTATCGATCTATCGATCTATCGATCTATCGATCTATCGATCTATCTCTATCTATCTATCTATCTATCTCGTCTCATCTCATCTCATCTCATCTCATCTTACCTCATCTGATCTTATCTCATCTCATCTATCTATCTATCAATCTATTTCAGAATCGATCTATTTCTCTATCCCTCCATCGATCGATCGGTCCATCCATCCATCCATCGATCCATCCATCCATCGATCCATAGATTCATAGATGTACATGCTCAGGGCCCCCCCTGGATCAGACCCAAAGAATCTTATAGTTATATATTATATATACATTTATGTGTTTGTTTGGTTTGTTCCCTACTCTTTAGACTGATGATCGGCATGCAAATTAGATGGAAAGGTCGGCGAAAAGGAAAAGAGTACTCAAAGGTCACCAAAAATATGTGTATATCTATATATTATAAATACATGTGCATATATATATATACGTATTTATACATGAACGGAACACATATTTCTTCATGTTGCTTCAACCTCCAAACATCTTGCAATTTCTCAACATCAACCAATGGGACTACTCAGTGACTACTCCCCCAGTGCTGCCACACCTTCTCTTCAATTGCCCACACATCTGTAGCAGACGGCAGCACATCTAAATCCAGGTCGAAACCCATCGCCTCAGAGATCCGTCGCCGGGCCCCGTATACGCTTAACCCACGGTCGAAGACCATGTAAAAAACCACATAAAAACATAATATGACAACCATATTAACACAACTAAGAACTACATATGTGGTATGTCAACCATATAAAGACAGTGAAATGTGTTTATATATATTATATATATACCAATATAGCTGCAAAGAAAGCAGTTAAGGGTACCCTTTTCTTTGGACTTTTCACATGGCCATGGCAGTTCCAACTCCAAGGGCATCGAAGTTCATTTTCGTCGCAGAACAAGTGGTACATCTGTCTTGCAACCCTGAAAAAAAAAGTTGGCAGATCTACCATCTGGTTATTTAACATAGCCATGGAAAATCCCAACCATAAATGGAGGTTTTAATAGGAAAATCATCTATAAATAGGCAAATGGGCTATTTTCCATGGCTATGTTAGTCATAACCAGAGGGTAATTCCAAATAGTCCTTAAATAGTGACGAATTTTTGGTACTTTTCGATCCAACCATTCAGAAGGTCCCGTGTTGAAATCGATCCATTCCCACCGAGGTGGGGACGCCAATATGCTCTTTGATGCCACTGCACAGGTCGCCAACGGTCATCCTTAGATTCAACGACCATTCAAAACGACCATTCCAGCGGCATGGAGAGTTCGTAGAGGGAAACTCACATCGCAAGGCTGACTTCAGCTATTAATGGTAAATGTATATGGTTAATATATGGATAATATATGGATATATCCCCAAATTCTGAGTATCTTATGATGCGCTAAAAATTTTTTCACACCTGCTGTGAAAATTCATCCAAACGCCAAACAACCAGTGAGCACAGCTGTTCAAACGCCTGGTTAGTAAATCCCCAAAGTTGACTCTCCGTTGTGGGTCTTTGATGTCCTTCCCAAGAACAAAACTGCTATATCCACTAGAAATGCAGGCTTTAAACGTTTCGATGAGAAAACATCTATAAAGGGCAGGAGTTTCCATTGCCATGTTTACATCTTAACCATGTTTACTTCGAAGTTTCGCCACCGCATGTGACTTTCCTTGTGGCGGTCAATAGGCAGCTGCCGCTGACGCCACCTTTTTTCTGCACAGCGAGAAAAGAGATGAGGTCGCTGTTCCTTGGAGCAGACGGCTTCAACTTATCCGATCCTAGCCGAAAAAAAAAATCCGAGGGTTATATCGAAACTTCTAATAATATATATATATATAGTATTAATATTATCAATATTATTATTATTATTACTATTATATATATATTGTATATATTGTATTGTATCATATTATATAACAATATATATATATGTGTGTGCGTGTGTTTATTGATATACACATACATTCTTTGCTTCTTTCATCATCTACCCAAGATGAAGCCACTGGAATCCCCAACTGCTGGTCTTGAGGTGGTCCAAGCATCCAGGACCCAGCAAGCGTTCCAAATTCGGCAACAACTGTTGCAATTCGGCCTGTTGTTTTGGGGCGCACCAATGACATTGACTGGAATCACCAGCTACCCACTGACAACTGTTGGTGTCAGCTATATTTTTTCGATTCAAGCCCCCACTTGATGGCCATGAAAAATGGGAAAAGGATCATGGCCATCTTGGCCACAAAATTTTGGAACAAGCCCAAGTGTTTTTTTTCGCTCCGGTTTTGAGGACTACCAAAGATTGCGCATCCCTTCACTGGGATTAGGATCCAGGCAATTTTGGAGGATCTGTCAGGATTGGTTTCAGGCGAAAATTTTGTCGGGTGAAAAAAGAAACAAATTGAATTCCGGAGTGCACAAAAACAAAACAAGCGCATAGAAATGAAATGATTTCCCCCCATGCCAACTCAGTGGCTCCCTCTGGAATCTATGTTGACTAGTGCAGTTCAACCATCATAACTATCACCACCATTGATATCATTGATATTCAGAAATTCATCACTGATCAATCATCAACACCAATCAACTGTCAAGATTTCTCAGAAAATTACAGGCACAACCCACCCCCGGAAGCTGAAAAGCACCACCCTGCGGGACGCCGCCTTCACCCCGGGCGCTCCAAGGATCAGCATTCCGGAGCCCCTCAGCTGCTTGGTGCTGCGGCGCTGCCGGAAGCAGAGCTGCGCCACCAGCACCTACCGGAAAATGGTGATGGTGAATTATGTGTATCTAGAAGCATCTATGTTTATATCATCTATCTATAATTATATATTATATATATAATATATTATATATATATTATAATTATATTGTATATATAATATATATATATACATACACATACCTAGACACTGCCAGAAAGCCGTTTTTTGGGAGAGAACCAGGCTTTATGATTATGTGAACACAGGAAAACCCGGTTTTGGACGACAGGTTTCTTGGGCTTTCGACGGTTTCTTTATGAGATTTGTGGCGAAAACCCCTAACCATTAATCAAAAACTTGGTTTTGTTGACAAAAACAACTAGGGTCGAAACTGTTTGAAGCTATCTGAAACTCAAGTTTTGATCGCTCGACCCGTTTTTTGCTTGCTTGTTGGTTTCTTTGTTTTCTTGGATTCTTCGTGTTCTTTGCGTTCTTTGTGTTCTTTGTTTTCTTTGTTTCTTTGTTTTCTTTGTTTCTTTGTTTCTTTGTATCTGTGTGTCTGTGTATCTGTGTATCTGTGTGTCTGTGTATGTGTGTGGTATCCTGGCCTTTCATTATTTTCCCTATAAAGATTGCCATGTCAAATCGGGGGTAAGTCCTCCAACATGAAATCCTCCCCCCATCGCCTCCCCGAGCCCCAAATCCTCCACGCGCCGCAGGAAGGAGCCGCTCTGAAGCTCGGTGTAGCAGGGAAACCACAGCAGGAGAACGGCCTCGGGGGAAAAAAAAAAACGGCACCGGGTGTCACTTGTTGCTGAAATAAATGGGATTCATATGATTACGTGTACAATATATAATCCATTTTATGTATAATATATATAATATAATATATATATACTCTAATATATATTATACATATTTCATACATATTATACAAAGAAATATACATATAGAAGTGTTTATCTATAAGATGTGAAAATGACCCTCTCACTTTGCAACCCCGCCGGCATTCACCTTTGCTGCCTAGCAGCTCCAGGCCATGCCGTGCGCAACCTGCGCAACATGAAGAGGTTCCAGGTGAAGTAGGACGTCCCCGAGTCGTAGGGCGGATCCAGCAGAATCAGCGCCCTCTCGTGCAGTTTGGTCCTTCGTTGGCCCTCCAAGAGCCGCTGATAGCTGTTTTCCTGGGGCAAATGCCGAGTCAACTCTTTGGTACCGACTAAACCTGGAGTCCAATCCACATTTTTGGATCCCCCAACTGAAATTCTTGGTTGGTGAAACTCGGTGAAACAGTTCCAAATAGTTCCAATAATTGCTGGTTAAACACCAACAATTGCTGGTTAACTCCCTCAATCTTGGTCCAAAAACCCATATGGATCCATATGGAACATTGATCCCATACCCTCCCGCCTCCAACAGCCTTACCGCAAGCAGTTGGTCATCCCACTGCGCCATACTCCGCCGCAAATCTTCAGCCACCGGAGGCGAATCCTCAAAGAAGTAGGCCTCAGCCATCACAGAAAATATGCAAAACCCTCCCAAGAAATTCCAAGAAATCAGATGTTTTTTATCCCCAAATTTCAGATTCCAGTACATTCCCATAGTTTTTGGATGTTTTTGGGTTGACACGCCAGGGTCGGGACCTCGTCTTGTCCCCTTAGCCATTGCAGCGCCAACATCGGAGAGCCCAAGTAGTACCGCCCGCTCTGAAGCGCGGTGTGCCGGAGCCGCTGAAGCACCGGGGCGACGGAAGCGGAGGCGGACTGCAGCAGATGGATGCCATCCTGAAAAAGGAAAGGCAGCAAGGCACCGAAGGGCAAGAAATGAAGGGCGTATTTCATTGTGGTGAAAGATGTTTGAATGTAATTAGATATGTTATTTAAGATCATGTTTGGCGTGTTCTTGGGTTTGAGTATATGACCGATGTATAGTAGTAAAATGATTCAAAATGTAGTAAATGGTAATCGACCGTAATTGACCCTTTTCAAACAACCGATTTGTGGAAAAGGACCAAACATGTGGCCAACTGAAATGCGTTACGGAAAGATAAGCAGCAGCCAAAAACCCCCAAAGAGGTCGTTTTGTGGGATGTTTTTTTTAAAGCAACGAAACATGATCGAATTTGATGCAACTCGTGATGCAACGAAAATGACAACTGACTTTTCGGTCATTTCTTCACGGGATTTCACGGCTGCCACGGATGCCGCTCCTGAAAGTTGCAAAAGACCTGCGCTTCGTCGCTGCAAAGATCGTAGAGGCCTCCACCAGCATGGCAATCCACGTAGGAAAAGGGACGACCTCAACGTTGACGTTGCAGGTGTCTTACCACCGGGACAGCTGTCCCGGCGGCCGGTGCAGTTCTGCTTCAAGAATTCTCACCAGTAAAGATGGTAGCTGTGGAGATACATAGCTAAGAATCAACAGACTTTCTAGCCATTCTCCCATGTGATTAATGAAACTCTAGAAGAAACTCAAGAGATTCAGGATGATTAAGAGGGTCACTCCGGTTCTCTCAACCCACCATTGTGACAAACACATCCAACACATCCACCTCTTCATTAGACTTCAGTGCTTTTTGAGTGAAATCCACACTTTGTGGGTCAAATATAGACAGTTTCAAATCGCTGGTACGATGCCCCTTGCAGCCTTTGCAGCTGCACTTGAGCCTGGTTGCTATCTTGCACCATGTGGCCCAAAAGCGTCAGCAACACGCTGTGCTTTAAGCAATCTTCCGGACCACCTGCAAGGTACCTGAAGAAAGTCACTGCGAACGATCTCAGGAATCTTGCGAAAGTCACAGCTTTAAAGAGATTATAAAGACTATATGATAACTATATGGCTTCAATATGGATATGGCAAGATGATGACGTTTCAGATTTCTGCTGAAATCAATTGAAATCATGTGTGTAGCCAATGCTCAGTCGTCGGCGATGCGTCAACCTTCCAGGACCAAAATGTCACGACCAGCCTGTGTTCGTACTTCCTGATGTATCTCACTCTTTCGATCATTGTGTCCTGCAAACTTCCATAGTGCAGCCCGATCCCAAGACATGACATGCCCTACAATGTCGCAGAAGGTACACTTTGAATCGCTTTGAACACCATTGCATTGCAGCAAGTAGAGACTTTGACAAACCACTTCCAGTACACTAAAGCTCATGTCGGGGCCACCGCCATGCAACCTTTTTTTTTTCCGAACTCTGCACGAACATCAAAGGCCCCCTCGCTATTGTGCGAGGCTTGGCGTGAAACGTGAAACCTGGGATAAAAATCTCGGTTGAGGAAAGCATATGGTGGTGCCAAAGTTCACAGATTTCAGCAAAGATCTGAAGTCATTGAAAATTTGTTTGAATGGTGAGGCTTCAAAAGCCCTGACAACATGTAAACATGTCAAGTCTTATATCCTCTTCTGTGGTTATATGACTATATAATGGGTAGGACAATTCACAACTCGTGGCTTCAAAACGTCGCCAGCACATCATGTTTCGTAGCCCGCCAGAATCAGCGCAATGGCCTGGTGGTTGTTGGTCGAAAATTAGGACCCTGGAAAGTCACACATTTGGGTCATTCTTAGGTCTTACCCTAAAATTCTAAGGGTAGCGGAAAAAATGGAATAAAAATGGTGGATATGATGACCTAAAAAAACTGGTTGCGTGTTTCTCACAACTTGCTGACAATTGACTAATGTACAGTGTTATGAGTGTAGCCAACCATTCAGGTGCCAAATTTTGGTCTATCTTCACTAGGTGCCTAACCAGCACTGGGCCACTAAACACCCCGTGATTAACCTGGTAAACCATGGTTCTTAACGTGGTGGAACGAGCCATTGGCTTGGATCTTGTCTGATTTTGACCTTTACCCATCTTCAGAATTCACAACTTTAAGGGACTCCACAACTGTTGCAGCCTCCGGGTCTTCGCAGCTGTCCACGTTGAACACCAAACTGTCTTCCGACGGAGACTCGAACATCACGGTGAAGCGGTGGTACCTTGTTTGATGCGGTGAGGGCAGGGGCGGTGGTACCTTGTTTGCCACAGGACAAACCATCAATTTTGATGGAGGTTTTAGCATCAACATGCCAAGAAATGGACGAAATGGTCATATTTCTCATGCTTGTCTGCCATCCCGTTGACCCCCCTTATCGACCCACTGACCCAAGGTGCTCCACATCGGGCTTGACGGGGAGGTCAATGATGCGGGAATTCCTGAAGGCGCCAGTGGTTTTTGGTCATCCCAACCAGAAGATTTTCGATTTTCGTGAGACCCCAACTGGTCATCTCCAGAGGGTTCAGCAGCACATCAAGAAATGGACCAAGAAATGGACCAGCCAAATCCCACCCAATAAAAACACCCAGCCAGGCACCGATCCGCACCTCATGGGGTATCCCATCCAGTGCAGGAGCATCGCCCATGCAGTGACCATCCAAATCAAGAAGATGAAAGCCTCGGGCGACACGAGGCTAGAGAGGATGACTTAGGATGAGGGAGCCCCAGGGGGACCGCAGATGTTTGATCATTGTGAGCATTATCCATCCATTTTTGAGGCTACTGAAGAATTTGACCCAAGCCCAGATATTGATGCGATCTGAAGCCAACCAGGGAAAATCCACAGCCACACTACTGACACGACCCATTTTCAAACAGGGGTTTGCCTGGAGTTGGGGACCTATCATTGTGATGACCCCCTGTCAGTGTCTTTTTGCAACTCCATATCATTGTCTAACCCTGATTTCAGGAGTCCTGGAGGTTCCATCTTGGAGTTCTTGATGGCCACTAGACCCGAGACTCATTGCTGCCAGACTCTCACAGCGGGCAGAATTTCTGTGCCCCGTTTTCCACCTGCCCAGAACAACCATTGCCCCTACCTTTTTCCAAGTCACGGAAAGAATGATGCAGGACAACATGATGTTGAATAAATGCTCGTGCATCCCACTGGTCAACACATTGGTCCCGGCTGCGGCACACAAAGGCCGGGTGACCTGAACGGCGAAAAACGTTGGTCAACGTTGGTCAACGTTGGTCAACGTTGGTCAACTTCCAAATAACTTGGTAACTTGACCTCTCATATAGCCAACATATAGCCAACTAGGACCAAGTGGACAGATCCCCCCACACATTTCCAGCCGCGCAGCCGCGCCTTCACACAGATCTGCTTGGGCAGCGGCGGCTCCACACACAGCAGGTCGGAGAGGACGTCGCAGTAGCAGCCGTCCACGCCGCAGGTCTGGTTGATCCCCACCTTGCAGGGGGATCCCAACTGGATGGATGGTTTATTTCATGGAAAATCCGAGAAAATCCGAGAAAATGGATGATAACTGGGGGTAGCCCCCATGACATTCCCATGACTTTTCGGAATCCAAATGGTCCCAAGGATTGGTGAGGGGTGGTAGCAAGTGAGCGATACACAAGGGGTACCAGTACCCCGGAAGATCCCAAAATGAGGCGAATCTTTCGACCAGAAAGCAATTCCATCAGCGCACCTGCTTGATGCAATTGGTGGCTTGTAGCCTTCTGCCTGCATCCGAAAGCCTCAGACCACACCAGTTCTCGCGTCTGGTGCGATGAAGCAAGTCGTCGCGGAAAACTGCAGTAAGAACTTTCAGGTGTCGGTGTTCCACCAACAAACATCTGCCAGGTGATTTTAGTTTGACCTTTTTGGTGAAAACCAGTTTGACTGTTTCTGGCCTGCCATTGCCATTGCGTTCACATTTCGCACCCGCACCTGTCGTGGCAAGCAATGCCCTCCTGCGAAAACTCCGTGACGATGCAAATCACAATGGCGACCACCTCGTTTTCCCACCACGGTTAGCTCAAGAGGGATTTGTAAATGGCTCGCACCCGAAAATCATCGAACATCCACAACAGCAAAGTAACAGTAATATATGCTTGGCATTGGTTGGCACTGTTCTCATCTTGTTGTAGCTATCCAAGAGAGTGATGTTTGACGCATGGCCACAAAGATTGACGACTGGTAGAGCAGCAAGGGAATACGAATGAAGGGAAACGAATTTCAGCCGTCTATAATTTGTCAAATTGGTCTTCTCTTGACCAAGGCCCGCATTGGCAGCTGTGGATGATACATATCAATACATATCAGCTCTTGAAGTGAAAAAACTTCATTGGCTCTCCACCCTTCATCTTGGAAATCCTTGGAAAATCCTTGGAAAATCCTTGGAAAATCCTTGAAACTCCACAGCACCAGTTCTCCCCCGATTCGCTGGCTCCGAATCGGACTTGGCCCGTGACGCATAGGCCGAAGAAGACTTCCAGGGTCAGCTCGCTGAGAGCTTTCTGCCACCACCACCTCCGGTCTGGCTTCATCCCTGAGGATCCCTGAGGATCCCTGAGGTAACTGGCTGTGTCGCTGAATCATTTTAGTCTGAATCAATAAAGATACCCCAGTTACGAAGTATTCAGCAACTTAGCAGTGAAAGAGAACGGAACCATGGGAACCCAAGTGATGCACTGAAAATTCTAGCGGCTGGTTTCAAACCCAAAAAATGAGAAAAGTACAAGAGTCAACTGGGATCATCATCCATAGTTTAGACTCAAACTACTCTCCAGATTCTCCAGGAATCAAACATGGCTGGCTGGGAAATCCCTGAACTATATAGATGGGCATTTAACTGGCAAAATCAGTGTTGGTTACATTTGGTTACAACCATGAAATCCCAAGTTTGCGTTGGTTAACTCCCATGAAAAATCACATGTTTTCCGGCCAAAATCCCATATGAAATCACCATTTTCGTGGGTGAATTGGTAATGTGTTATTCCAAAGCCATGGAAAATCAGCATGGTCAAACACCGGAAATCATCGAACTAAACAGGCCATGGCTTCCAAAGCAAACTGTGAAAAAAAACAGAGGAGTATTGGACAAAACATTGCCCATCTGGTCATACTCTCCATAGGAGATCATTGATACCGAGGAGTATTGGGATCTACCCTCTGGTAAACTAACATAACTATGGAAAATCACCATTTTTCATGGGAAAATCCACTATAAATGGCCATTTCCAATAGCTATTTTGACATAACCAGAGGGTATACCCATGCAACATGTCCCCAAAAACCCCCAAGAGATTCATCATCCCCGGCCTGGTGGTGGCCTTGGACCCTAGGTGCGTTCCCTTGTACCTGGCAGATTTTATGCCTTCACCGTTAAATTTTGGGTGATTTCACCAAACAGACGGTGGATTTAGGGGACGTTGAATGGAGAAAACCAACAAGAACCAGGGGATTTAACCATCCGAAAATTGGCAAACCATCAAAAGGGTGACATTATGGGACGTAATGGGATGTACAACCAAAATTTGATGATTCGAGTGTGTCTCTAAATCAGGGACACTGGGTAAACAGAGCATATGGCCAGAAGTGGATTACACACGGGCCCACATACTTGTACAAGCCGTTTGGTTTAAGCATCCAATTCTGGGTGTCAACAACGTTGAGTCGTCACACGTTTGCAAGGCGTCAGTATCACAAAGCTTGGAGATTCTCCCCCCGCTCCATGTAGCGCCCCGAGCCAGCGCACTTCGGACCAGCCTGGGAATCTGTGGGATGTCCGACCAGCGAGTTTGGAATTTGGCAAGTCGCTCATTCGACTCATTCGTTCTTTGATTCATCAAATTCATCAGAGTTGAGTACCTAGATTTGAATCACTCAGCTCAGCGTGCCTCCGGAGCACATCGCAGGCTTTGTTCGATGTGTTTCCCATAAAATAGAGAATGAGAGAGCACTAGTGGTCTGAAACTGCTGAACCAAGGAATTTCACAGTTGGATGCTTTGATCTTTGCACATTTCCCCCAAATGCTTGGTCGAGGCAAGACCCCTTGCAGATGTCCCAGGCAAGTGTGACTCCCAACAGGACATCAAGGCACGCAGTAGCTGAAGACTCCCAACCACCACATGGAGACCACAGATAGGATGGCACCTGGGTTTCCAAACTTGACGATGGAAAAGTCAGGAATCACTGCTAGTAGGATTCTACAGCAATAGTCATGTGTAGTCTCTATACATATAATTGTCTAAGTGTATAGCAATAATTTTAGAATTTGCAAATCTACCAGTTTTACTCTTCACTAAGGTACCTGTATTATAGTATTGTAATCTATCACGTCAGTGTCACAAAAACCCGCCAAGCTACACGCTGCGGCCGTGGCGATGGACGTGTGCAGCGCCTCTTCTCGCGCAGGCCGCGCCATGTCGTGGAGACCTGACACGGCGAAGAAAGACGGGTTTTTTCACCATTGATGAATTGATTCATGGGTTAAATATTGTTAAATATCATATATGGGTATGGATCAATACCTATTAATACCATTTTTAGGGGAATGACCATCCATTTACCAGCTATTTTGATGTTCACCAGGGGTACAAGGTTTTGACACACTGCCATATGGGTTAATCAATTCACTGGGAATAAGATATCTGGTATTGGACCATGAAAATTAGATTAGTGGTTTATAATGTTTATATGACTTCATAATTGATGGGTGGACTAATCACAAATTAGTTGGGACTGTTCTTTGATGAATTTAGTTGGTAGACCATGGAAATCCAATTTCCCAAATGGAAAATCATTGGATTGGTTTAGTTTGGGGAACTTCAGCGAAGTTCCCCATGGCTTTTCCCATGAAAAAAACGGGGGGAAAGTTCTGATTTCAATGTTCCCTTGAACAAATCCAATGAACCAACAGTTTTACAGGGTTTTGTACTTGATAAAAAGTTGAACTTAGCTAAGTTGATTTGGTTCGGTGTATAAAACAAATCCTATCACAAGGGATTTAACCAAGATATAATAATATAATGGATATGATATGAATGGGATATTCACCTGGGTGAACCCTTAGCTGGGCCATGTTAGCTGAAGGGTGAATAAACCCCCAGTTTAGGAATCGGGGGTGCAAGTTTTAAGAGAAATTCAGAAGACATGTTTTTAATAGTACCATGAACCTCAAGAAACTATGTCAGGGTTTCTGAATCCGGGGCTGACATTAAATGTATATCATATCCTATCATAATTCTCAGGAAACATCATGAACACAATGAATGATGATGAAACATCATGAAACATCAGCTAGAGAAAAGAACAAAACACTCCTGACCAGCGACCACCAAGCAGAATTCCAGTGAAACAAACCACTTGGCTTTGTCCAAAAACATCAGAAAAACTCCCAAAACCATCCCAATCTTGAGAAAATCATGGCAAAAGAGTCATTCTCTCCATGGAAAAATGGCCATCAAACTTTGGCATCATCGCGGTAAATCCACGATTTTTGCACCCAACCCCCGCGGCATTTCACCCCGATTCTATGCCTCCACTTCGCGGGAAGATCTCTGAGAGTTGCCACGCCAGGACAATAGCCAACCTGATGAGAATCTCCGTCACCAGCAAAAATCGATACCCGACAACTGTGACTATCAATGTGATCTGTAAAAAAAAAGAAACGCTATGTAAGGTCACGTCTGTGATCAAAGCTTTTCCGGCTTGCATGATCATAAAGAAAATCCTCCACACAATTTTCTCCCAAGCAACGCGAAGGTGATGCTGAGAGGATTCAGCAGGAGCACCGCAAATCGGTCCAGCGTCAAGTCCCACAACGAGATCTGAGCCGCTCGACTGCCACCTGCGGGGTTGACGCGGTTAGCTGATCTGCCATAGCCAAAACAAAAACTGGTCATGGATGGATAGATGGATGGATCTATATAACTACTATTCTTCTTATTCTTCTCAAGTGATTTGTATTATTGGGAGTATTCAGTATTATCATTGCTATTATCAACTATCAATATTCTCACGGCCTTCAGCCAAAACAAACTTTGCCGACTTAGACTCCTGCGGGGACCAGTGAAACACCAAGCCACTTTGCAGGAACTCTCGTCCAGGATCTCCAAACATCGTGGTGTATCTGACGCCGACGACTTCGGACATATCTTGGTGCGTCGGACGCGGGACCCGGACGTCGGGTCGGGTCGGGCTGTGAATCTGCTGACTTCCCATCCCTCCAATATCAAAGCCCCTATTTGAGGGGACCCCCCAATTCACGAGATCCACTCGACATTCCAACGGAAAGGCCTTGTTCTGGATCAAATTCATCACATTCCAACGGAAAAACGACCCCCAAGGCATCAAAAATACCAAAGATTTTGGGGGTAGATGAAGGTCCATATTTGGGGGTTTCTTAAGTCATGAGAGATCCCAAAGTCGCCATAGGTTGGTTCAATGTTAAGTCATGGTCATCCATGACTTGGATGATTTGGGGGGTACTCCCCTGACTTAGGAAACCTATGGAAACCTGGATTTTTGACCAATGTCAGTAGTTCACGTTCACACTTGGATCATCTTTTTTTATCCCCCATCCCCAATGATGAAAACCAGTTTTATGGGTGGCATTCCAACGATCAATCCATATGGTCCATATGGATGGTTGATTCCCATCCCCCCAGTGCCACCAGACACCCCAAAAACGGTGATCGCCCAGGAACTCCAGCAGCCTCCCCAGTGCCAGGATTTGCCCGAAGCTTGCGGAAGATCCTGATCATCTTCGCCAGGCCTAGGCCACGATTTCCCCATGATGCCATGTATAGGTTAACAACCATGGTGACAAACGGATCCTCAAATTTTCGGAAAGCCTCACCAAATGGCAATGAGATGAAAATTTGTGTGGCAACTGACTATTCTATCTTTTTTGGGGTCTGCGATAGTTTCTACAGTTGTTGCGATATGAATATGGGTATGAACCGAGACAACCCTATATCAAATAGCTATGAACCGAAAAGAATGACGGTGAAGCAGCAAAAATGGCTGCTTGGTCCAGCAAAAATGATGCTGAAGCAGCCAAAAAACTGCTGTGAGGTCACTTCAATGACGGTACGGTACCAAAAAAACTGAATCACTGAAAAGGGACCAAAATCTGCAGGTTCCTGGGCCCTGGAACTCATGTGGTTTCGTCCTATTTTTCGAGTGCAGTTTCTTGGGGCATGCCCCATTTTCAAACACCACGAGACTCCACATGTCGCCACCACATCAGCAGTCCAGCTTGGTCATCAATGGCAGTGCTCTCTGTGATCACCTCGTTGAGCGCACAGTGCCGGGGATGAGGGGCCCCGTAGTGAGGCAATGAGGTCATCAGAATTCATCCAGAACAATATGGGGGGTTCCTAAAATGGAGCTACCCCAAGTCACCATGGTTGTTTCTATATCAAAATGGTCATCCATGACTTGGATGATTTAGGGTACCCCCATGACTTTGTCCATATGTTCAGCTGAATTGTGTAATGGCTATCAAATGGCTATCCTGTTGATGCATGCAAGTTGCACAGCCCGGCCACCGATGATCACCTGGGCTGAGAAATGGATGTCCATTGCCAAGTAAAGATGAGTAGATGGGGTGGCTTCATATATCAAATATCAGTAAAATGTATCACAATCTAAGTAAATGTGGGGACTTAGAATCAGTCAATATTATAATTATTATGTATATATATATATATTATACATAAATCATAAGTCATAAGTAAGTCCATGGGTTTATCAATAGGGACTAATACAGTCAGGTCACTGTAGCTCAAGGTCAAGGGCACACCATCACGCAGTGGAGGCGGACGAGGCACCAGCTCATCTATGAAGCCTGGCACCATGCTTGGACAAACCTATATATATATCAATATATATATACATATACATTGTATATATATATATACATTATATATATAATATAGAGCTTGATATATATATAGAGCTTGATATATATATATATAGTGCATAAAGGCTTCAGATAAACTAACTACCCCTATGCCTATGACCTTTCGACGCAAATCAGCTCTTTTCGGTTCGCCGGCTTCTCACATTTTTTCAACGCGCCTGAACCTGGAGGGAGACCCACATCAGGGAGCGGTGGCGTCCTTTGGCAAAAAGGCATAGAAGTTGTCAAAACTCACCAGTTTGATTCTCACAACCAGAACAAATATTCATTGAACTGCACTGCATCAGCCATAAAAATGGATGTGTGCTTTGAAAAAGTATCACACTAACTACTCATGAAGGATGCGTTAAAACCAAATATATAAATAAGACTTAACAGAGAAACAACCCAAAATGTGGCTTAAAATGAAAAAAAAAAATACCACAAAAAAAATGAATAAACTAGATACTTCTGCATTGGGATTGGTCGAAATCTATTTTTTGGTCCATAAAAATAGGAGCTGCTCATGGATGACAACCATCTGGATGTGAAAAAAACAGAGGACCACCATTTTGATCCATAGCCGGCCATAGCAGGAACCTTCCAGATCTTCCAGGTTCAAAGATCCATCTGACCACACTCTGAGCTTCAGACATCTCTCCAGTTGCGGCATGTGCAAGGTCATCCATTGCGTCTACGGCATATGTCTACCCGGCGACGGCGGGAATGCGTTTCCTCTCCCTACATCTTATCTTGAACCACATGCGCCACGTTGCGGTTGCGGCTCTGCATGTCATGCGTCTTCAAGTTCTTTTAAGAGATCCACCATCATTCAGCAAGTACTGTAGACCCAATGATGAACCTCGAGTTTGGGATGGTTTCTCCCACCTGTTTCTGGTAAGTCATTGGTGATAGTTTATGGCTTTTTGTGCCTTTTCGCAGTACTAAACAGCCGACCCATCAAGTGCCCAAGGGCTCTTATTTGGCTTGCCCATTATATCCAATATATGGGTATGGATCAATACCTATTAATACCATTTTTAGTGGGATGAACATCCATAAATCCCAGCTATTTTGATGTGAACTACAGGGGTACTATTGGTTTTGACACACTGCCATATCTGTTCTTAAGGAAACAAACACCCATTACAGGTTTGTGATTGGGTATACCGGTCCCCTAGAAGTGGGGTGATGTTTACTATGACCCGCAGTCATGGTTGGTGAGTTTACCCCATTCTCAGACACTCAAATGAGCAGTGTTCAAAAACCAACGCTTCCCCTATAATCCCCATAGTTTGAACCTTAAAATCCATTTATCGATGATTTAAATTATAATTATACTTATATATGATATGTATATATATATATATATTATCCTCATAGTTTGACACTTAAACTATCATCCCTTCATTCATTCCCATCAACCTTTGCTGCTCCTCCAGCTGCTCCTGGACCAAGGCCTCCATCAGCTCCAGGGCCTTCTCCCAGCGCCCGCAGACATCGCAGCCGTAGACGGCCGAGTGAAACGCCACGGCCGAGGCCTCTGGGGGAGCCAAGGAGTTCGTAGGGACCCGTTGGAAGGTGGCAAAAACTGAAGAAAAATGGAGGTTTTATGATGAAAACACTGGAGATTGAAGCATTTCATTCTGGTTCATATCACTGGGATTAAGTCAAAGGAAGATTCTGCATGAATCATGGAGGATCCTGTGAAATGTCCTTTCAAACAACTCTGGAAGAGGATGGAAAAGTCAATAAGCACATCTGAAGGGAAGTTCCAAGTCAACCTGTGCCTCAAATCAACCAGAACTCGCCAGAACTTGACTTCACCCAAATCAGTTGCATCAAAAATTTGTGCAAGTACCATCAACCCCTACAAAAAAAACATCCCACATTCATCCATGTGTCTCCAATCTTCCCCTGTTTCACCCTGCGTTTCGCCTTCTTCGAGCTTTTGGCCACTTCCAGGATGGCCACGGCCATCTGCCAGCAGCCAGCCTTGCCACAGGCGTTGATCAACGCCCCAAAGGTGATGCTGTCGGGCGCCAGCTGCTGGAGCTGCATCTGCTGCCACAACAGAAGCGCATGGCGCCAGGAAGCCTCACAGGCACCTCGCAGCGGAGATTTTTCTCCAGTGACACAAGGAATATACCACCAGTATATCTGGCTGAGCTCCCAAAAAACGAGTTTCAGTCACTTTAGGATGTGGGTTTCCAGCTCGAATTCTATATCCCCTTGGAGCACTCAAAGGGCACCAAAGGGCACCAGTTCCACTGGCTGCCATGGCACGGATGGCAGCATTTAAGGTCACCGTGTCAAAACGCAGCTTCCTCCGCTGCAGGGTTGACAGCAGAGCCAAGGCATTTGGCCAGCCGGCATCGGCCTGGGTGGCATGCCTCTGGACGACCATTCCCATATCCCTATGAGTCATATGGCAGTGTGTCAAAACCAATAGTACCCCTGGTGAACATCAAAATAGCTGGTAAATGGATGTTCATTCCCCTAAAAATGGTATTAATAGGTATTGACCCAACCCCATATGAGGGTCCCAAAAAAGAAAAGTATGCCCCTCATCTTTGCATCGGTTTGTACCAGCTCAAGCCGGCATTGGGCTCAGCGGGTCAACAGACAAAAATCCTCAAAGGATTGTCAAAGGATGGGAAAAACATGGAAAAACCGGCCTTTGCTTAACGGAGGGCTGAGAAAGGACTCCCTGAGGGAGAATGGCACAGAAAAGTGGGCTGGGGAGTCTCGCAAACCGGTTCTGGGAATGGGAAGCCCCTGGATTCATTCTGTCGAAAGGATTTCAGTACTCAAAACTCACAAGATATCCCCTAAAATTGCTAGCAGTGACAGTGAAGGGATGATTGGTCAGCAGTTTCTATCCATTTCTATCCCCAGTATGGATTTGTTCTGTGAGCAAGAAGCTGGCAATGTATGATTCGCCCGATGTAACCTTCAGCCACTGCTCGGACAGCAATTCTAGTTTGTGCCACCGAGCAACATTCAGCAAGGTGTTGAAAGTGATGATATCTGCTCGAACTCGCATTGATTCCATCTCTTCCATCACTTGCACTGCCACCCTCCACTGATCTCCACGTACCAAACCACTCAAGGCGCTGTTCATGGTAAAGCTATCTGGCGCCATGTCAGCCCGCAGCATCCTCGCCAGAAGCTCCAAGGTCCAGGTCCACCGCAGTGACACCGCGCTGAGGCCGGCGTTGTAAAACGTGGGATCTGCCCGCAGCCGTTGACCCAGGGCCTCCTCCATCAGTCCCAGTGCCTGTTGCCACTCCTCTGCCCGACCACAGGAGGTCAGGACACTGCTGCACAGCACCACATCTGGAGGGAAGGAAAGATCCTGGGGCCAAGAGGGCTCTCGAGCTTCAAAAAAGTTGGACTATCCGAAAATAAGATGATGGTGATCCTATGTGATCCTATGTGATCCTAACTTACAGCTTCAAAAATGAACCCAAAAACAAAGCCATCAAGATTTCGGCATCCTTGGCATCTCCCCACAGCTGCAGAGTGGCCTGCCATTGCGAGGCTTTGGCACAGATGCTGGCGCAAAATCCCAGCGATTTTGCGAAGGAGAAAGCTTCAGCCACTGCCGATGGAGCTGAGATGGCTGAGATGGTCTCTAAAGCTTTGGCCCAATCTCCATCCTTCTTGCAGCTTCGCAGTGCCTGCAGCACGTCATCCATCTGCGGCGGGAAAGGCACTGGAGATGATCGGATCAAAAGCTGCAGTTTGTGGATCACTCAGCCATTCACAAAAGAAAAAGAAAAAGGCGTCCAACATCAAAAGAACAAAAGAATACTTGTGCATGCAAGATCTACGAGACAAGTATGGCTGTCTAACCCCCAAAGTCAATCTGCTTCACCGCAACTTGTACCAAAGAGCCCACCAAGTGAAGGGTTGGACATATGAACCACGGCCGGCTCAAGGACAGCACTTTCCAGCAAGGAGTCGTGAACCAACGTGAACCCAACCTGGCCAAACACACTGCCAAAAGCTATGACGAGTGCGATAGAAAAAAAAACGGGGCAAGCACAACCAGGGTTTGCCCATCGATAAATAAAGTCCACCAGCAAAAAAATCTGCAACTCGGTTTATTTTGACTCCCAGCCAAACATTATCATATGCTCATCCTTTCGTCAGTTTCACCCCCTTGATCCAGCCAGGCGGACGCGGTGCAGGGGCAGCATTGAGCGGTATGCCCATTTCTTCTCGATGATCATCCTGGCACTGCGGCTTGGAGCCACCCAAAGATGGATGAATCGACTATTCCAGGGAGTTTCCCTTGGTAGCATAAGGCGTTCTTCCTGCCAAGTACACATATTAGGAGTGTAATGTGCTAAACCCATCATCATTGGATTTATCACTTGTCTTGGTGCACTTCCGCTCAATAAATGGGTATATGGCCACAATTACGAAGATTACATGCCAGCTTGTGGCAGCCATGTCCATGGTTATACAGTTATACCCCATTTTTAACCCCAAGTGCCACCCTCCCAGCAAGTCACCGGCAAATTCAGCTCGATGAGCCAGCCATATCCGCGGCCCCAGGGATGTGGCCTCACAAGTATCGGATAGTCCACTGAGATAAATGGGATATACATGGGATATCGATATCCATAGACCATGGGTTTGAAGATGCTATGGGATATAAATGGGATATAAATGGGAAAGAATCTTCTTGGGTGAATCCTTTCCTTTGGGCTTATCTTCTATCTCACCCTGTTCGAACTCCTTAGGAATCCCGGGGGGCATCGATAAAATCGACCCATTTTCGGGGTGGACATCCATTTCTGGGCCCCTCACCCCGAGCGGACAGAAGGACTGTCCTGGCAAAAGCAAAAAAAAGCCATGGTTGGGATGATTGTTCAAACTCAGCCATTGGATAAGCTATACAGACTATACAGGTCATATCAAGTTATAGAAGTTGCAGCCCTTCAGCTATAAACAGATAGAACCAGGAGTAACTAATCAGGTACCAGCATGACCAGTTCAGTTGTACCCTTTTGGATCCACAAATTGTAATTGCTAAGTTGGAAACAAACGGTTTTGGGATCCCCAAGACCAAGAAAACCCCATACAGATCAGTGATAGCCAGCTTTTAATCTGTGCAAACCAGCTCAAATAATGAGCCATTTAGAAACATTCCTACTCAGCAAATGGCTATCCGGCGCATCATCTGACCCCAAGAGATCAGTCATAGGGGATGCTTTTGGAATGACTAAAATGAAACACCCAGGTCCTAACGGTCCTAACGGTCCTAATAGTCCTAATGGTCCTGACGTCCCTTAAAAAAAAAACGAAAAACGCACGGGGCCATGTCCTCCCACTTCTCCGCCGCTGCTGCATCTTCCTAGGCCCATGGCTTGCACTGCTTCCACCAAGGAATGGAGGATGACTGGCGGGTTTTTTGACCATTCGAGAATCCCAAGATATCCCAAGTGGGGTCTGAAAATAGGGTATATTCCCAATGAAATAGCCATTTAATAGGGATAATGATCAGCAAAACCATTGGGTTTAGGGGTACACTATTTTCAGACACACCCAAGTATATATACCAAAAAAAAAGGACCGTCGAATATCGACAGTCTCTGAATCTTTGGAAACTCATTGGTCCAAGAGGCAGCAGTGTAGGGCGGCATTCTCCAACACCAGTCCTAAGCAACAACCGATGTCTTCTGCTTTTTGTATCACGTTTCTTGCAAATTTCTCTGGCCACCCAATTTTGCTGGATATCCATCTTGATCAATGAAACTTCCAAAAACCAGGTTGCTCCTGGGACCCCAGCTGCCATGTCAGTCTTCCCCCCGAGAACCACACAAGAGTTGGCCCCACTGGCGCTATAACGAACAAGATGGGTGGAGCAACCCTGAGAATCCCAACTTTCTGGACCTGGAGTCTGAGGACACGGCCCCAGACGGAGACCTGCCTATGGGCCACTCTACTGATGCCTCAGCCATGGTGTCAAGGCATAGAGACCCCAACGTTGGAAAAATTGTCTTCATTTGTACATACTCCCTAAATGAGCCTAGAGGAAAAAGAAAACGACAAACCCTAAGTATTATTATTGTTATTATTGTTGTTATTATTATTACTATTATTATTATTGCAAGGTGTCATTTTTTGGATTGTAATGTAATGATACCAAGAATGATGAGAATAAATGATAGCGATAACAACCACTATCTGGTTAACCCAATAATAAACCGATAAACCTGCCATTTGGGGATAGCACATCAAAAAAAAACATGGTGAGATTAGGGATTGTGACAGGGATGGTGTATTCTTGGGATTACCACTTTAAAAACAATGAGAATCAAAACATATCAAAACAACTGAAGCTCTTCACCTTCAAAGTCGGGTCATTAGTCGTCGGCTGTCGGCAAAATATTTGTGGACTGCTTGGAGTCCCAACGCTAGTGGCTGAGGTTTGCTGAAAGAAACCTCGGCAGACGATGTCAACATGTTAAGAATCGGTCTCAAAACTGTGAACTTGAGTTCAGAAGCCGTCTCATGACTTGGATTTTGTTCAACTATCATTTTTCCGCGGTTTTTTTGACCAATCATCAAACTTGTATTGATGAAAGCCTATCATACCATGTTTATTGACTGGTATTCCAGTTTATTGACTGGTGTGACTGGTGTGATCCGTTTCTAATGGCATCCCATCATAAATTCTTGACCTTTCCGGTCCTTGAAGTGCCAACTTGGTGCCCCGGCGGGCCAGACGCATCAGCATACCAGGCCTGGCAAGGCACATCTCGCTGCTTGGTGCTTGGTGCTTTCAAGCCACAGCCGCTGTCGGGAAACATGAGGGAGTCGTAGATTACTTCTCAAAGATGATTACATAATGGGTGCATGTGTATAGACTGTATAGTGCATACTATTACTATACCATGTTATCTACTGATTCTACAATATCCATCAATATCCACCCTGGAAAACCTCTGGATTTTTCCCGACGTCCGACCCGGCTTTCCGTGCGGCCTGCTAACAATGAGATCTCTAAAACGATGGGGTATGTCGCATGGCCTCGGACGCTGATCCCATCTGATCCCCAAAAGATGGCCAAAGGTGAACCTCCAGCCAGATTGGATCTGCTCAAAGTGTTACACATGTTACACTATAGAATACTATAGAATAGATTAGAATACTATAGACTATAACATATAGATGATATAGATGATATAGATGAATTATAGATGAATTAAAGAATCTGTAGATGTTCATGCATTTTGACTGTTTGTATATCATTGTGACATATTGTGACACAATGCTGCCACGGCGAAGACCAGATCTCTCTGGGGAAGCGGCTCAAGCATCTGCCAAAGAACTCTTGATAGAACGGAACGTGGACGCCAACCATGGTCGAATAACCAAGCCTGGCTGAGTTGGGAATCAGCAACAGATTCAACAATGATGATCAGCATGAATCAGCTCACTGCCTCACCCCCAAGGTCTCTGGATCCCCATGCATTTTTCTAGCCTAGCAGTTCCAGCAATTCCTCCGCGGAAGCCGAGTTCGGATTGCCCCGTTGTCGCGCAATCCAGGTCATGTGCCGGATGGCGGAAGCTCTCCGCCTTTGACTCTCCTGCAAAAAGGCAGTTCTTGCATCGGTTGGGACGGCCAGCAGCATGTAAAAGATCCGTCGTTGTCTATCGCGGTCCATCATGACGTTCCCATCCTGCAGTCTTTGGAACAGCAGTTCCAAAATACCATGCTGCACGGCCATCTGTTGGCATGCCTCCCTCATGGTTATGAGCTCCAGGCACATTAGCAGCATTTCTTGGTGAAAGCCTGTGCTGCGCCAGCAACCGTCGACCAGCTTCGGGAGGCAGCCGTGCTCACAAGCTTTGATCACGAAGTCCTCTCCGATAAGCATTAGATGCACCAGTGCTGTAGCAGCCGCCTTTTTCATCTCAGCACGCTCGTGCACCAGAAATTCCAACACGTCTGGGATAACAACCTTCAACTGGTCATCGCCGCTGCCTGCCGCTAGAGCCTCGATTGCTTTCACTGCTTCCGGTTGGTTCGGATAGGCTCCCCACCTTGCAATTGAGATGATTGTAGGGATCAAATCGGTTGCGAGCCTCGAGATCAAGGAATCCCCTACCTCTAAACATATCCCGGCATTTGCGGCATATGCGATCGCCTTCAGGGCCACTTGCTGCACTGGAGCTGAGGTATGCTGAACCAGCTGCACCAACACCTCAGTGACACCCACCTCTGCCAGCAAGTTGTTGAGGGTAGTGTCAGAACATCGGAGCAACTGAGCGATGGCACAGGCGGTCGACATCGAAGCCCAAGGTGCTGGGATCACTAAGGCTGAAGCCAACATACGTGCCAATTTGCCTCCGTCTCCCCACTCGCCTAAATAGCATGAGTTCAAAAGAACAGTGAGCGCCCATGCTGTGCGGCATCGCTCTTCCTCGCTTGCAGCACTTCGAAGCCTCTCCCCTAACCGTTCGAGCTTGGAGTCGAGGCTTTCCAAGTCCAGCGGCCGACTGTCAAAGTCATACAAAATTGCAGAGCGAGGCCACTGCATCTGGTGGAAGTAACGATTAGCACCTGCCAATGCCGTGAGCTCCAAAACGTCGAAAAAGGTCAAGACATGTTCGAACAAGATCTGTTCGCAGGGTGACTTTGTGGCCCAGGCGTCCGTTATGACATTTGGGTGCTGCATCTGTGCGGTGAGGCGAGGAATCTTGTCCATGGCTGATCAAAATGTTGCGGTACTAGTGGGAAATTGAACTTTAATTATTTGATATTATTTGTAGCACCCTATAATTAAAGAATCCACCTGCTGTTATAAATCCTGGTCAACGTGAATTACAAGAAGTGGAATAGGACTGGTAATCATTGGTAATCCACAAAAAGATAGGAAGTCAAACCCTACTAAAAGTCGTCATAATCTAATTACGTGTCTATCTTATTGGGGTTTGCTATACACTGGAGTACCACTAATTTTGACAAACAACTTTGGTCCTCTGAGGTGTACTGAGCCTTAAACTCTCTATTTTGAGATAAAGACGGCTACAATGGTTGTGGATGACAGGTGCAGGGTGCTGAGGATGGCGCTGAGGATGGCGTTTTCTCATCTTTTGTGGGAACCAAGATCTCACACATCCATGAAACCACCGCCTTTTTTGAGTTTCCATTCTCATTTGTATAACTGTAGAGAACCTCTCCAAACCCATGAATCACCAAGCAAACACGGGAGGGCCCCAACGTGCCTGCGTCGCAGATGCAACTGTGTCATTGCCTGCTGGAAAACAGCTGAGCATTGACATCCGTTGGGCCGGTTCCCGAATCACGAACCCCGATCACCTTCCAAAACATCCAAAAAGTTGCCTCTTTCAGCGTGAAATTCCCATATCTTTGTTGTTCCTCCACAATTTCACCCAGAAAATCCCTATCTTTTTTTGTTTTCCATCATGAATCATACATCGTGATGGTTTTTCATCCCAAAAATCTGTCCAGCTGCTCATGTCATTCCCGAGCCCTGCCATCATCACATTTTGCAGGTATTCTGAGGTCCTCATCCCCAACCTCAGCCGGTTCCAGTCAAGCTTGCTCCAAACACCGCTACGGGGGGAGCTACCAAAAACGATCTGCTATGTCCTAAACCCAATGCCATAAACCAAGCAATATCACTATTATGATGGGTGATACACTTATACCATAACCCATCACCAGATGGTAGGCTTATGATTGGGTGTACCACATGAATGGAGTGTCCCAGTAAGACCTCCATAGAGGCCCTGAGCTTCCAGCCCGAACGTATGCGAACGCATGCGGCGATGACTTTATCAGCCTGTTCAGCTCGAAGCATCGATGCCAATTGACCTCAGATTTTACACGGCGATTGAAATCTAAAACTCACCAATTCCCTTGCAACTAATCCACAAAAATTGGGGTTTATATAAACATGTGAATCATGTGAATTTGTGGTTTTACCATCAAAAATGATGGTTTTACCGTCGGTGTGGGGGTTTACGGTTTACAGTTTAGAGTAACCGTTAAAAAAATCAGACTGGATAGTACCATGACTGGACACTGACCCAGGTATCCACTTACGACTCCTTTGATAAGCGTCCAAATAGTCAACACTTGGAACCAGCGGTTCTTACCCAAGCTCTTCGCAAGGAACACGCTCGTTCAATGACTGCTGAAACGTCTCTCCAGGTGGGAAAATAGATGGTGTCAGTCTTACATCCCAAACATATCAAAAAGTAACTTTGTCTGAAAATGTTGGGAAAACCAACAACATCGGTGGATCATCAAATGTTCCCCCATTGTTTTTGTTTGCCATTTTGGGAGGATTACTCCCTCATTTGTGCACAAGAAAAAACACAGCCATGCCCATCTCCTGCCTCTGGACCAGTCCAAAAATGGCCCAAGTCGAGAGCGTCTACACGCTGCGCATATCCCTGGAAGATCAGTCGATCAGTTGATCAGTCAGTTTCATGGAAAGATTCACAGGATTTCAACGGGAAACCCAATGGACATGGTGATTTTGAAAGATGGGTCCTGCAAATCTTTGGTTCATCTGGGAGTCAAGGAAAGCTACGCAACGCTGCGCCGAACTCTTGGACTTTGGGAACGTTGAAGTTTGACAGAAGTTTTCACAAAATCCCATCATCAGTCGCAATAAAGTAAGTGTTTTGGCATTTTACAAGCCCAAACCTCCAGCACACCAAGCAGGACCCATCAAAGCTGCAGGATCCATCACCATATTTGATGATTAATCTCCCCATGTTTCGCCAACAAAATCCTCATGAGCAGGCTTTCAAAACCCTGCGTCAATCTTTTATACTGGACGGTTGACCGGGGTTCCCGCACATGGGTCATAAGTAAACAATAAACCAAGTAATGTACAGTAGCCCCTTTATAAACTAATCAGCAAGGATTTTGGTCTCACATAGTTCTGGCTTTAAGCCCTAATTTTCATAAATCACACGCAAGTCTTGCTGTAATCCTTTCCCCCTCCATCGACCTTCGCATCACAGCCATTTTTTCAAGTCGCACCTCCAGGTGACAATAGTATTGCCACATTCGTCGCTGTTCGCGGCGAAGAACGAGGGACAACCTGCCAAGGCGACCCCAGGTTTTTTCGACGTGATCCGTGGCGGATTTTCCACGATGTGGGAGGCCCAGATTATGTCCAAATCCATTCAATGCAAGACTTTTGACAGAGATGATCACTACGTATAGTTAGTCACTATGGAAATATCCAATGGTAGATATATCGGGAGTTTGTCACCAATTTTGGGGAGAACTCGTCAAGACAACCGTGGGGAACCCCATTTGGGGACCCTGAAGGGATCCTGAAGGGACCCGAATGGCGGCCCTGAGGTGCCCACGAACAATGACATAGCCGTGCGAAATCTTCTGGGCTCAACCACTGCCCTACACCTCGACCATTCGACTTGCTTCACAACAGTGCCGGATGAGGATGTTTTTTTTCCAGTGGACTATACATGAGATACAAAGAAGGTATGTAAAGTTCATTGCAGCTCTGACAAACTGGAAAAACCTGCCCTGAGATGTCAGCATCCCCAAACTTCAGATGGAACACTGCTGGCAGTCTCCTGGTCCATGGGATGTTTTGGGATGTCTTGAGTCTTGGGTGTCTTTCTTTGAGATTTCTTGGATTCTTGAGATATCACCAACGTGTGTCCAAGAATGATTTGTTTCTAGAGTTTATATAATGAAGGCACAATGGGTTTGTGATCAACAAGAACAGCCTAGCAATGAATGCACGTTGTAGGTTGAAGGTGCGTCAAAAAAATGGCAAACATCAAAACGAAACGATTGGGGGGTTCGCTGAATAGATCTAACTTGAGGCCAGCTGGAGTGAACGAAAACTGTACCATCAAATCATGGTTGTCAAGGGCTGAAGGAAACAGGAAAAAGGTAGAACAAAACTATTCAATCACATGTCAAGGTGTGCACCATGGCTGGTAGCAAGCAAGCATTCTAAGTTTTTTTTGGAAAAGATACTTTCCGCGTTGCGACAAGACACCTCAAGAAACCACATGATGTTCCACAGCCAGTGATTGCTACAGTTCGTATCATTCCAGGGTGGGGAGAAAGGGCAAGAGGATGAGGATTCACCAGGAAGCAAGGGAATAAGTTCCAATACGCTTAGCAGCGCGGACATGGTGCAGGAAGAAAGCAAGGGGATAAGTTCTGATTACACTTCGAAAACCCGACAGACCAACAATATTGGAGGAAAACGTAGTGCGCGTTGCAAGTTGTCTAACAGAGTCTAGGTTTGGTAATTTTGTGGCAAATGACTTTCCAAAAGCACAATTTCAGGAGAAGATCAATGCCCAGTGAACAATTGCACATAATTGCACTACAATGATCATTATCCACTAAACAGCATCACAATTACAGCCGAATCGCAGATCATGACACATCAGAGAAAGGCAAAAAAACCAAGGGAAAAACGCTGATGATCCCCTCAATGGATGATCTTCATGGGACACTTTTCGTGTTGCGCTGCGCTGGTTTCGGCTCCTCTAGGGACATCATCTGTCTAATCCTGGCCGGGTGGACTACCCCCTTCTCAGTTTCTCACATTTTTGCCAACATTTACGAACAACAACTCAACCTAAAACAAACGTTTCATACCACATGTTCACAATTAAAAAAATCAATAAACATTGAACAGTACATTGAACATACCCATGCAACTGGCGCAAAAATATGCAAGAACCAACAACATTGAAACACGGACTGTTCATAACGGTGAACCACGACATCGGAATACATGATTTATACGGTGCCTAATTGAGTAAACGCTATAAAAACCCAAAGGTGGGATAGTTGAACCCCGAAACCATGGCTATATTCCAAAAAGTACCGAAGGTATCGCAGACCGAGAATTGAAAAAAATATGACGGACCGGACCGTCTATGGTGGTAAGCGGCACCATTGGGGAATGAAACCACTACTTGGGGTCGTCTCAACATCAGGAAATCGAGTTGACGCGCCTTGACGTTTTGGAAGCCAGAAAACCAGCTGTATGGTCGAAATCTTTCAACCGTTCCCTGAGGCCGCAGATCCCAGTTGAGATTGCCGAGTTGATCGACTATTCATCATGGTTCTTGAAGTTGCGTACACTATCGACAACATGGTAGAAACATCAAGGCACAGTCAGTTTTCGTTTCATCCGAAGCAACGCAACTGTCACCGAACTGGTTCCCAGTTCCCAGCCACATTTGAGTTCCACACCCATTGTGTTCAAGCGAATAGCTGTCCGGGCCCAAACATCTGAACCACAAACCATCAAAAGATTGGAAAAATGAAAAAATAATCATCCAAACCCATCCAAAATGAACATTTTGCAAAGACTCATCCAGTTTCACACCACGCGAACACATGAAAGTCCGCACGTGCAATGTCCATCTTTTGCATCCAATACAATTTGTTCAGAACACGGGTTTTTCCCTCGACAAATTCATTCCAAGTGGCCGAAGGAATAATGAGGGTGCATCCATTGTGTTTTGAAAACGAACACAAAACTGTCAACATTCTGCAAATGTGATTGGTATCACGTGTTCCAATTTGTTCCGAAAAAACAACCTGAAACTGTTGGACCCAGGGGATGAACCCGATAATTGGATGTAAAAATGCAAAAATTTGACACATCGTTTCCAAAAAACCATTTATGAAGGTTCTGCAATACCTAAAAACCCTCTAAATATGTCAAACACGCACCACTGTG